GTCTTTCAGTTCAAACCAACCTTGAGGTCACGTGCTTATCCCAAAGCGCCACACCAGGACATCAATGGGTTGACAGGGACAGGCAATGTAGATACCAGCTATCAAAAATGGGGGGGGGGGGGAGGTTTATAAAGTCCTGGTGTGATGCTGTGGGCTAATGCTTTTTAACTCCAAGATTGGTGGTTCAAGCTCAACAGCTGCTCCTTGGAAACTCTATACAGGGTTGCTATGGGTCAGAATCGAGTCAACAGCACTTAACAACAACATAAAGGCACAAAGTGACCAGTTTACAAGCTTTCTTGAGTGTGCTTAGTTTCAGAACGAGGGGGTAAGGAAGAATCCTCACTGAATAGTTTTCCTTTTCCAGATGGATCTGGTGAAATGGGATGAGGACATGGAGGATGATGGTGAGAGGATGTTATGATTCAGTTAGGAGTAACTGTTACAGGATTAATGGCAGAAGTCACAACTGTAATTGTAGAAGATGTGTTAACTAAAAGGGGAGAGCAGTTTATTTATCTTTCATTTCAGAAGCAAAGAGCCCTAAGGACTACCAAGAAGGAAGGGTATGAGATCCTACCTAGAACCATCAGGTGGTGACATTAGAGACAGTAGCAAAGGGGATGGCATGGAGACAGAGAGCAGCTGCAGACTCTAGGCCCATGGACTAAGAAGGGCTGTGTGCTTGCAGGCAGGAGGCTGGTTTGTAATATGTGTCCTTTGTTGTTGTTGTTGTAAGTGCCGTCGAGTCGGTTCCGACCCATAGCGACCCTGTACAGGGTTTCCGAGAGTGTAAATCTTTACGGGAGTAGAAAGCCTCATCTTTCTCCCGTGGAGCGGCTGGTAGTTTCGAACTGCTGACCTTAAGGTTCGCAGCCTGATTCGTAGCCACTACGCTACCAGAGCTCCTTAATAGTCATTTAAATAAATATATATTTTTTGTTCTGTAAGTGTAAATCAAATACTTTTGCTTTGTTGGTATGGTGGGGGAAAAAAAGTAAAAGGGAAGCCACAGGGAGGAAGCAGGATAACCGTTGTTGCAGGGAGGGGAGTATAATCATTGAAATGAAACAAAATGTATGACTGGTTGAAAGCAAAGCTGATGTTCTTATCTGTTAATCTTCACAGAACTCACAATAAAAAGTTGGATAAAAAAACCAAAACACCAACACAGAAAAACAGACACAGATAAAAAAAATCCTGGAACTCTGAACTTTAGAGAAGCCGACTGAGTGTTGGTTGGGAAGAGAAGCTGGGTAGGGATGCCGAGAGAGGGAGACTGACTGGTGAATGGGCAGCTAGATGCAAAGTGACCATCTCAAACCTTTGTGAATAGTTTTGGCCACAGAAGGTGGCCTGACAGAGCAGTCACACAGGCGACTAGAAAGGATACAGAAACGGTATCCATACAGGGCAGCTATAACTGTACCCTCTGCAGCTCCACCCACTGGGCAAGAGTTAATACCAGTTCCTACCTCCCTGATCAATGACAGACAGCAGCCAACACCAGTCAAACCCACCCTAAACTGAGGTGCATGAACAGCAAATAAGAACAGTGTACACGCTTCCATTCTCTAACTACACTCACAGAAGACAGTTGGTGAGAGCCTAGGAACACACCAACATACAATCATCAATTAAATACAAATACAACAACCACACAATGCTCCAAAGACAACAGACAATTTTAGCTTACATGAGAAACAAGAGAGAATGGCTCAAACAAATACCAAGATGTAAAGCCTGAAAATGTTTATGAGGAAGTAAAAAAGAATTCAAAAGAGTACTATTTAAGTACCTTCTGAGGGCTGACACAAAGATCTAGGAAAGCAAGGAGAACACAAAAAAAACATTAGAAGAATTCAGAAAAACACTAGAACAACAGACAAAATGAATAAAAATTTTGAAACAATACAAAACCTGCAATTATAAATCCAGAAGATTAATACTTAGATTTTAGAAATGGACAATACATTGAAAAGGCAAAGAAGATGTGAAGCAATGGAAGCCTGAAATTAGTGAGCTTGAAGGTAAAATCTCTCTATACTAGTACACTAGAAGAACCACCAGAAAAAAGAATGAAAGAATCCAAAGAAAGCCTAAGAGTAATGTGGGACACCAGGAAGAGGAATAATTTATGGGTGATCCAAATTCCAGGAAAGGAAGAGATAATAAAAAGCACAGAGAAAATTGTCAAAGAGTTGTTGGAAGAAAACTTCCTTTAAGATCAGGAAGGAAAAAATGTATGTATACAAGAAGCTGAATGAACCCCCAGCAGAGTAGATCTCAAAAGAAAATTACCAAGACACACCAAAATCAAAATTTCCAAAACCAGACAAGGAAAACATCCTGACAGTAGCTCAGGAAAACTGCAAAGTTACCTACCTACAAAGGAGAACCAGTAAGACTAAGCTCTGATTTCTCAGCAAAAACCATATAACCAAGAAGGCAATGGGATGACATATACAATACTCTGAAAGAAAAAACTGCCAACTAAGAATATATACCAGCAAAGGTATCCCTCAAATACGAAGAGAGGTAAATACTGTAAGTGTTGGTACAAGGTAAATACTGTAAGTGTTGGTACAATTACAATTGCAATCATTGTAATGAAGCAAAGTATATGATCTGTTGAATGGAAAACTGATGATCTGGTCTGTAAACCATAACTCATCTCACATAAAAGATTTTTTAAAAAGAAGAAAAGAAAAATCATCATTTAAAATCAAAGGGTGAACTTGTGTCAAAGAAATGGAATCTTAATTAAATCAACCCTCTAAATCTATACTGTCCAATATGGTAGCCAATGACCATATATGGTTATTTTAAATTTAAAGAAAAAAAAAAAAATCCAGTTTTGATGCCACAGTAGCCACATCACAAGCATTCAAGAGCTTCAAGTGGCTAGTGACTACTATAATGGTGAGCATTTTCATCATTGCAGAAAATTCTATCCCATAGCCTTACTATAGGTTTACTATGATATGCTGAATTGTGTCCTCCAAAAAGATATATGGAAGCCCTAGCCCCTGATACCTGTGAATGTGACCTATTTAGTAACAGGATTTTTGCAGATATAATCAAGTTGAGGTCATTAGTGTGTGCTTAATATGACTGGTGCCCTGTATAATAATAAATACAGACACACAGGGAGAATGCCATGGGACAACAGAGGCAGAGATTGGAGTAAAATGCCTAAAAGCCAGTATCAGAAGCTAAGAGAAAGGCTTACAACAAATTCTCATTCTGCGAGAGCACGGCCCTGCCAACGTTGACTTCATTTTTCAGAACTATGAAAGTAAGGATTCTGCTTTTTTAAAGCCACTCAGTTTGTGATAATTTATGCTAGCAGCTCTAGAAAACTATTAAGAGTCTAATCTAATTCCCAATCTATAGGAAATAAAAAATATTAAATAATACCTAACTCCACGGCACATAACAACAACAACAACAACAAAGCTGGTAAGGTACTTAACAACAACAAAGCTGGTAAAACATTTACAACTATTAAGGCTCTGATGGGCGGGTCATTAAACTTTTTAGTCTTTTCTATATGCTTAAAAATTTCCCATAAAGACTCTAAATCTGACATCTTCTAAATCTACTCTTTCCTTTGACTATCTTGCCCTTCAGTTTATATTCCCCAACACACAGACTTACCCCTTTAACCCATCTTTTCTACTACCCCCTCCTATACCCATCCTCACTTTTTAACCCACTATCTAACTGGCCACATGCTCCTACTAGCACATAAACCTCTTGCCTTCAGATTCTGGACCAAAATTGTCCAGATTTGCCTAATTTCTCTTCTTTAGCAATGCTAGATAAAAGAGCAATAAAATACTTATTCCAGTTTTAATTCTAAAGTAGAATATTGGACTGCTAATCACAAGGTTGGTGGTTCAAACCCACCAGCTGCTCCTGGGAAACCCTACAGAGTCACTGAATTGGAATCAACTCAAAAGCACTTAAGAACAACATCATTCAATACTCTACAAATTATACATGTTGTCACGAAATTCATTTTAACAGTTATGAAATTCTACATCAAATGACAGGGACATGGCTTAAGAAACTGAGAGAGTTGCCTGAGGATGTGTGCTTTTAAGGTGACAAACCCATTGCCGCTGAGTTGATCCCGACTCATAGTAACAGAGTACAACTGCTCCATAGAATTTCTGAGGCTGTAAATCTTTCTGGAAGAAGACGGTTTCATCTTTCTCTTGTGGAGCGTTTGGTAGGTTCAAATCATTGTCCTTTAGATTAGTAGTCCAATGCTTAACCCACTGTGCCACCAGGGCTCCTTAGTTGACAAGAAGGTGGAAAGCTATAAGATAGGCCAATCTAGTTAGACTGAATAAAGTTAAGGAAAATTATTCTAGGAGAAACTGGTAAAGCAGCCAAGTCAAATCAATGTTAGACTGTAATCAATTTGTTCTCTAACCGAGTCCATTTTCATACCTGTGCTTATTCTTTCACTTAATTTCCTACATCTTCCATTTGAAAAATTATAATGACAAATACAAGATTTCCCCAATTTTCAACTAGAGTAAGGAAACTGAACCCTTAGGCTCAGACTAGTTTTAGAGTTGACAGAAAAAGCACAAAAAGACACATGAAAGTGAAAACAAAGTCAGAAATCTGGAGATCAAGACACAATATGAGAGCCTCCTCTGCTTTTAAAAACTTTCAATTACAATGTTTATGTTATTCCATCTTTTAAATATTTCTCTCAAAAAGAAAAGCAAGATTGGTTTTGAACCATGCTAAGCACACAGTCAAACACAAATGAGACATTTAATAAACACTCATTTTTACGGTAACTGCAATACAGCAACAAAAAGCCCCACACATTTTGACTGCTGCCATTTAATTAATGAAATTAATAGTTTATTGAGTATGTTGGAATCTGGGTGTCAACTATTAAAGATTAAAACAGAAGACACATTAGTATTGACAGATTACTTATACCTGTACAGTGACCACAAAACTAAAAATACCTGATTGTGCTCAACTCTTCTTTGCTTGAGTGTTATTGGAGTCTTTGCTCTGCCCTTTAATGGTTCTCTCTTCTCAAGCTTGAGCTCTATTTTAGAGTCTGGAAATAACACCAGAGAAACCATTACTCTCTGAAACATCCAACAAACTACAGTCATATATTATTTTGAAACCCTAGTTTTAGGCACCCTAAAACGTAAAACAAGCTTATTAATTGGTGTTACACTGCAATAGATAAAAAAATGCTTAACTGTAATTTGCCCTTTTTTCCCTTTTCTATTCTACTTTATTCCATTTCTAAAAATCTTCCCCATTCATTAATCTGATCACACTATTTCTATTTATTCTCCTTTTCTTTTTGAATTCAAACTGCTCAGTGTGGCTTTTGTTAAACACAACATGTTGAAAAAAGACATACACATATACAATATAGTTAACATTCTTTTTCCCATAAATCACTATGATGTAATAATAAAGGTAAGTTTGTTAAAGTTTAGAATGCAGAAAAGGCTATAAGGCATTTTCATTTCAAGAATAAAAAAATCTGTTTGGTATCAAATCTCTAATAACTCAACAAGTGATAAATGACAAAGACAATAAAACAAGTGTAATTTAAGTTTTCCCTTCCTTTTATGAAGTAGGTATAACTAAGGTGGAGATCAAGAAGAATCTGTTTATAGAAAAGTACAAATCACATTATCACCTCTTTCCAATACCCATACTAAAAATAAAGGAGTTAGTCAGTATATTTTAATTAAATCATACATCATGTTGTTTATTAACCTAACAACTCATATATGTTGTTATAGGCTTCAACATTTCATTCTTCTACACTTTGATTTTATCACCATTTAAAGATCTAGATTTAAAAATACTGGTAAAAATCAGAGACATCATTTTGTGGCTATTTATCATGTTGTTGTTAAGTGCCATTGAGTCAGTTCCGACTCACAGCAACTTTATACAGGGTTTCCGAAGAGTAGCTGGTGGGTTTGAACTGCTGACCTTGTGGTTTGCAGTCAAGTGCTGTTCTTACAGTGCCATACCAGGATAGCAAAATTAAGTCAGTAATAAAACTCTATTATTAAATAATGTGAAAGTTAATTGACTACCTTCTTACCCGAGGGATAGGAATGGAATATAGCTGTTAAAAAGTGGTCAAGATACACTATGTATTTTGTTAACTTTCTAGTCTTCTACTAGTCAAAAGTAAACTTGGATGTTGCCCAAAAATGAACAGCTACAAAGTTAGTTCAAACAGTTCATTATTTATTTAGGATTAAGCTGCCAACTCCATCTTCTAACTAACATTTCTATTAATGGAACTATGTTTATATATCTATGTTTGGTGTAAGTTTATACTTATACTTTAGTAAGTAAAATTTTCATTAGTAATTGGGCAGAAATTGGTTAGACAAGATTTATAGTTACAGATTCTTTTATAAATGTGGATTTCAATAGATAACAAAACCACGATTCTCAAATAGAAGAAAAATTAAAGAGTATTTTCACCTATACCCACTGGAGTGTCAAAGATGAAATGGAAAAGGGTTGTATATCTATAAATACCTAACTTGTTGCAACTCCAAGAATAAAACACACATAAAACATGTTTCTGGAGACCACACAAAACTGTTCAAATTTAACAACTTTATTGAATTTGCAGAAGCATTCTACAGTAATACATATTTAAAATCACATAGCACTTAGCAGGTACATGTATACATGTACATTTCAGAAGACAAATAACAAATATTACTCTCAGTAAGCTGGGAAGACGGACATGAGTAGTGTAAGAATGTTAACAGCTAAGGGGAGTACCCACAGGACTATAGTTTGTTTAGGTTTAAGGCTACCATTTTCCATAAAAACAAAAATATTTGTGTTCTACACAAAAATTCTACATTTAGACAGTTTCATCTTACAATCATAAAAAATAAAGACAGAAGATAATATATTGCTTTATGTAGACAGAGACTCTGGGGGATATAGTAGTTCTTAAGGCTTTTTCTAACCCATTAACATAGATTTTCACTTAAAATCTGTAACTTTAAGCCTAAGTTTCCCAAACCATAACACACCTTGCAAGAAAAGTACTATTTAAAAAAAAAAGAAAAAAGAAAAAAAAATCCCCATCTTTCTACTATCTGGCTAATCTGACAAACTAGAGAGATGGTGAGAACACTGCACCATCCCAGAATATTCATTATCTTCTTGAGCAGGATCTCACAAAGTTTGGACCACAGATTGGGATTGGTCCCTCAGTCTATGAAGACTTGAGACACTTGCACCAAAATGTAAACCAATACATTGCTGCTTAAATCAATCATGTTTTACTACAGAGAAAACAAAACAAAAAAAATCCCAACCGTGAATAGAACTAAAAAGTGTGTCTACGTTTAAACTCTGCAGCATGCTTCTCTTGCTTGTGGGCTAACACTCACTGCACTGATTCTGAACATTATCAATGATTTACAGATAAATAAAAACCAAGCGCGATTAAGAGCAATAATGTGGAAAAGCTCTACAAGTGATGGCAGTATCAAAAGAATAAAATCATTGTTCTGAATGTGTAGCATTTTAGACTTTGTCCTAGGTATAAACAAAAATGCATACTAATAATACCAGTGAAGATCCTACTTATATTTGAATTACTGGAATTTTCTCAATTTTGAAAAGTGTAAAAATGTAAGTAAAACAAAACAGTGTATTTATTTATTTATTAAAGAGAAATATAATCTAAAAAGCTTTTAATTGTTTCTACCAGGCTTTCCATCTGAGCAACTAAAAAAATGAAGAAATTAAAAAAAAAGGTATTTATTTACTTTTATACTGCTATTTGTTGAATAGAAGCCTGACACTTTGAAATTAGCCCAGTTTTTAGACTGAAGAATTCAGAAAAGAAAATTTTGGTAAGTTCTTGAAGTTGCTAAAAAAACATCCTAAATGCCTCATATTATAGATGTCTTTGTTCTTAACTTTATCAGTGTTTATTCCCACGCTTTTTAATTGTTTTGTTTATTTCTCCTCTGAATAATGTTCCACCTTTAAAGGGAGTAACTACCAGTTTGTTCTTAGAAGCTGGATTAAGTTTGCAATCCTTCAGCCAGAGATATCGGCGACCAACAGTGGAAGACCCCATGGTATGGGCAGCCATCTTTACTTCATCAAATGCAGCCTCACAGAGAAATGAGGCTGCATCATACGTTTTGCTCAGAATTCCAAGGGCCTGGTCCTTTTGACTAGGATCAGAGCTTAGAATTTGTGCAGCCTGACTAATGTCTGCCTGCATCGCCCTAGCTACAAAGGCAGTATGGGTTGCAATCTGCAATGCTGATGCTGCAGCTTCATATGTTCTACAAAGTGCTAAATCCAACTGTTTATCACAAGCCTCAGTGGAGGCTCCTGCTGGTGGAGTGGTGGTTTCAGAAATAAACCCTAGGATTTCATCATCTACTTCTGGAACTGGTAATATCTGAGATGCTTCTCTAGAAGAAACTGGATACTTGCAAGTCAATGAAGACAGCGGCTTGTCAATCTGCTGCCATTCCTCCTTAATTACTTTTAAAATCGATTCATGGAAGGGAAAAGACAGTTCAGAATCATCTATTGTAGCAGACTGTGATTGCTGAGGTAAATCAATGCCTAAGGTAGTGAGTGAGTGAGAGACAACAGCTTTAGCAAGAGAAGACATTGATTCACCTCCAGGTGTATTATGAAATGCCATAACAGAGCCTAAATCCCTGTTCTCTACTGACTTCTCACTGCGTCTAGGGAATTTTCGTGAAGGAGATCGGTATTCCATTTCTTGGAAATGAGACTGATCAATTCTCTTCTGCATGTTTTCTACATCTAGTGGAGGCACAGAGTGAGAAGTCCCAGGTAAACTACCTACCCCACCCTGGACCAAAAGAGAATTGACATAATCTCTGATTGCCTGAGCAAGTGGTGGAGAAATTACTTGTGATCTCACAGACTCTTCCACCTCTTCCCTTTCACTGCACAGAATGGACTGATCTGAAATACGGGACCTCTCTGTACCTAAGGGCCGACTTCTACTTTTCTCTCCAGAGCAAATCTTTTCTACTATTTCTTTATAGTGAGAAGTACTGGTTTCTTTAATCCGTGAAGGAGAAGCTGTAGCAGAGGCCAACATAGCAGCAAGTTGATGCTGAGGTGATGATGCAGAACTTTTCTCTAAACCTCTAGCCTTGGAGGGGCTAGACTGGGAGGAAATAAAACAATTCCCTCCAGAGGCTAACTTCTCCAACTGTCCCCTGTCAGGCAAAGTTGTAGAAATAACAGGTTCCCTAGGTGGGTTTCTCTTAGAAGTATGTAATTTCTTAGCTGCCTGTAGTTCAGTCCTGCCCAAAGGAGGACGGACAGAGATTTCAGGAAAAGAAATACCCTGAAAAAATTCACCAGAGGGAGTAGTTGGAAGTTCAGAAAAAGGAACAAAATCCCTAGTGGACTTCACTTTCTTGTGTTCTTTCTTCTTTCCTGTAGAGGCAAAAGAGGCAGGAAGTTTAAGCATTACCTGTGTTTGAGCTTATTCTTTGCCTCTTTGCTAAAATAGTGCTGTTGAAGGAAAAGGCTCTATAGTACAATTTGGCAAACTGTGCCCTGTCGGGCAATTCTTACAAAGAGATAGGCATTTTGGGTCAAATAAAACAATTATGAAGTCAAGAAATAAGTTATCTGAGTTAACACAGCTTATAAAAATACCAAGTTGTAGTTATATTAAGAAATTTGAATGGGTGTTTATTTCATATATTATACTCACAAAGTACTTAACTATCATGGTCAAACTTTCTTAAGATAATGTATCTACTAAAAATATGGTCAACTCTGTTTTAATGTTGCCTTGAAATCAAATTATCCAGTAAATATTGCAAACAATTTAAATGCCTATTAAGATAAAACAAATGTGATAAGCAAATGCTATCAATATATATTAATGACATGGACTAAATCAGATACATACAAAGTAATAGGATTAAATCTTAAAAGTATAGAAAAGCAAGTGCTAATATTTAAACATATCACTTCCACAGATTTTTTTAAGGCACAAAATAATTCCATGCATTAAATAAATGCATATGTGAAAGTATGAATAACAGACTGGAAAGAACTATCAAATTAATATTAATGGTTGCTTCTGTGGAGGTAATATAGGAATGGGACCGATGGAGAATTTACCTGTAATATTTTTTCTCTTAGGAAAATGGGAATAGAAGTAAAAGAAGTAACTAAAAATTCTAGGTGATGGAAAATTGAATGTGCGTACTTTCTGTTTCTTAGAATTCTCAACAACAGAAGATATGGTATTTAAATTACTTGTTGTTGGTTAAGTGCCATCAAGTTGCTTCTAACTCATAGTGACCCTGTATAGGGTTTCCAAAGCTTTAAATCTTTGTGGGAGCAGAAAGCCTCATCCTTCTCCAGTGGACCAGCTGGTGGGCTTGAAGCACCAATCTTGTGGTCACAGTCCACTGTTTATCAAATGGATAATTTAAATGATGATCTGAACAAAAAATACACATTCCTTGCTAATAATATTATTTTAAATATTACCTTTTTCATGGTGACTGTATCTTAAAACAATTACATATATTAACACCATTTATAGTTTTACCTTCTTCATTGTCACTGTATCTGTCAGAATCATTACTTCCATTCTGCCTTGTATTTTCTGCTGAAGAAGAAACTGTTGGCAGAGGTGTAGATGACCTTGATTCTGTTCCATGTTCCCTCAGTTTCAGCAGCTTCTTCTCATATAGCTTCCTGGTGGTCCCTGAATTAAAGCAGAACTTTGCTTTAATACAATTCCTTATGTAGCTATTAGTTTTGCCTGTTATTTTATATTTATTTTCCTGCTATTAATTTTTATTTTATAGTTTTCAATCATAGAGTGTCCTGCTTAAGGAATAGTTAAAGCTTACTTTCAACCTCCCTTTTCTAAACTTAAGTGTGAAGACATATTATACAATGAATTGCTTTCTAAAATAGGTGTTTACTATCCTCTACCTCTCGCAAGATATTAATGTAATTACAAGAATGTTTCTTTTAATAGCATGAACTATAGACTGAAGAGATTCTACTGTAGAATATCTACTAAAGAGCCATGTACAACCAAGTCTTTTGGAGTGATGTTGTGGCTATTAATGCCAACGAGTCACTTCCAACTCCACAACTCTCTACAGGGTTTCCAAGGTGCGGATGGTGGGTTAGAACCACCAACCTTGTGGTTAGCAAGTCTACTGCTTATTCTACAATGCCACACCATGACTCCAACTCAACAGGGTTCTCCAACTGTCTAGGACTTCGATATTTTCTCCAGGATTATATAACTTTTACCCAACTTTATACTTGCCTATACAGAAAAATCATTTTTTATGAACACATAAAAGAATTATCATTCAACTCTTGAAATTCTTAACAGGGCTTTGAACTAGTTCATCCTGGTTCAATCCCTTTAAAACTCTGCTCTAAAGACACTGTTGCTGCTAAATGCTGTCAAGTTCAACTTGCAGCAACTCTGTAGAGTGTTTCTGAGAAGCAGTTAGCAGTTCGGTGCTTATCCTATAGCGCCACACCAGATTTACGAAAAGTGTTATATATTACATCTAAATAGAATTACTATGCAGTAAAACAAACAAACAAACAATGAAACAAAACAAAACAAAGTCTCATCTTTCTCCCAAGAAGCAGCAGGTAGATGCAAACTGCTGACATAGCGGTTAGCAGTCATAATCCACTATGCTACCAGACCTCCTTATGCTAAGTAGATAGCAAATTTCAATTATAATACAATTTTAACATGTTTCAACATCAATTTAAAGCAAAATATAGCTTTTTACATTAGCTATGTCTTTCCTTGCATTATGTAAGATGGATTAAAAAAAAAAAATCAAAGAATTTTTAAAAGCAAGCACACATATCTAGAAACGTTTCATCAGTAGTATTAAGATGACTATCAAATTTACTGTTTCCCTTGGAATTTTAAATAAAAGATTTAAAGACCCTTGCACCTCCACAGTATTCAAAATGTTGTATCAGAACTGACTATTCTTAAGGTTACCAGCAAACCAAATCTGTTGCCATTGAGCCTATTTTCACTCAAAGCAACCCTGTAAGACAAGACTTATAAGAAACCTACGAGGAGAACTGCCCCACAAGGTTTCCAAGGTTGCAATTTTTAGAAAGCTGGCAGCTACATCTTTCTTCCTCAGAGCAGTTGCTAACCACCAGATGAGCAGTTGAGCACTTAACACTGCTAATGCCAAGACCAAACAAAACTAAGATATTGCAAAATCATAAAGCTAAAAGTAATGAAATAATGGCATTTAGTTCTAACTTTTCTTTTATAGTCAAAGTTTTTTCCTAAATATAGCTTGAATTCTTCCAATCAAGACAAGATTTTTTAAAAAGGTTGTTGTTGTGAAGTGCTGTCTAGTCGGTTCTGACTCAGAGAGACCCTGAATAGGGTTTCCGGGGAGCAGTGGGTGAGCTTGAACTGCCAATTTTGCTGTTCAAACTGACCTTGCAGTCCAGCGCATTAACCCTCAGTGCTACACAGGATTCCTTTTTAAAGGTGTCCTTCATAAGTGAAAAAGGGTATTGTGCAACTAGCAACTGAATAACTTGAGCTCCATTCACAAATCTGTCACTAATGATGGTGGCCTCAGTTACACTATTCAGCTTTCCTCAATTGTTATATATAGACAATACTAGAATCATATGGTCTCACTAAGTTATGTGATAAGAATCACCATGTGAAACAATCTCAACAACAGAAGTAATTTTGAAGATTATCTGGCTCAATTCTATAATTTTATGTCCTTCATTAATACCCAAGGAAACAAGGACTCTGGTCATATCATATAATAAAGGACACACTGGCTCTTAGAATTCAAACTGTAACTGCCAGAGAAGGGAATACATTTTGGGGTATTGCTTCACAGAAAAGATGACTGAAATTCTATCAACTTACCCACAATAGGACCAGGATTCACTCCATATTTGAGAAGCTGATCCAGAAGATCATCATTGGTAAGCTCTGTTACATCTAGATCATCTTTATCTTCTAGTCTGGGTTTATCTGTTTTCTTTGTGGCTTTCTGTAAACAAAGTCCAGTTATCATTTCCAAACGAATTAAAAAATATTAATTTATCTATATAAACAACTCTACATACAATAATTGTGATAAACATGCAAGTTCACCTTCAAGTGATTTTTAGATATTGGGTCTTAGCAATTTAATAAAGTGCAATGCATTATTTGAAGTAATATTCTAACTTCAATTCTAATTTTGCAAATCTAATACACAATCAAGCAACTACAATTTAAAAAGCATTATTGTTAAAAGTCAATTTGGATGCACAGGGGGTTAAGCACTGTGCTGCTAACTGCAGTATCAGCGGTTCAATTCCACCAGCTACTTCAAGGGACAGAGATGTAGGCTGCCTGCTTCTGTAAAGATTTACAGTCTCGGAAACCCTAGGAACAGCCCTACTCTGTCCTCTATTCTATAGAAGCTGAAATCAACTCAACAGCAGTCAGTTGTGTGTGGTTTTTTTTTTTTTTTTTTTAATCTAAAAGGAAGGTGTGACATCAAAAATCCAAAAGAATAAAAACATTAAAAATTATTTTGGATTACACAATACATTTACATAACAACAAACTACATGCTTATTTTCTTAAAAATTTTTTTATAAAAATTATACTGCATTTCTTAAAGCATTTAACTCCTGATGGCAAGAAAGACATTAACAAAAGTGTTGCAAGGTGAAGTCAGACTGGGTTTAAACAGTTTAAACCCAGTAATAGTAAACTACTACTGACCTCTTTTGATAATCCTTAAAACTTAAATTAATCTAGAAAAATTTATAGTTTATACATAAAAAATTCCTTTAAACAAGTGTAACATAAATTAAGGTGCCCAAATTAATATTCTCTTTGTAATATAATTTATACTAGTTACTTTAATAACCAGTTTGTAACCCATGAAGAGACTTCATGGTCACATACCATCTCTGACACAGTTTATTCACTTAGATTTAGTTCTGTTATGTTCATTTCGCTAATAATTATAAGAATGTAGAATAAGTTTTGAGGGAAATCTCAAAAGGAGTTTCTTAAATAATTTAAGCAATGGCAGTATTTATTAGGAAAACTATATACAAACATCCAAGGTTAAATAGGTGAAAGGAACAAATACCTTTTAAAGTGGTGGCAAATAGCCTCACTAATCCCAGAAAGCACCAGAGTACTGAACAAAAAAAAATGACTATGTAAAAATCAGACAAAGTCAATTTAGGCTCAAATTTCTAACTAAAGGAAGCAGAAGAGTCAATCAACACTGCATCCTAGAAATATTTCATGAAAAGTGACTAAAATTATAAGGCCATACAGCTTCACTACTTTCTAATCATGTTGTGGGGGAAAGCCAGGCATTATTTGACCATGTATTATAATTTTTGTCTTTGACAAAAATTTTTAATAGCTCATAAAAAGCAAGATTATGAGGACTGCTTCTCTTAGATAGGGTAATGAGAATAATCATGCCATGTCATGAAAATTGTTTACTGATGAGGAAAAACACCATTATACAGTAAAACCTTGAAAGCCAGGACCTGTATAAGGTCAAAAGGTAAACTCAAATATTTCTCACTAAAGCAAAAACAAAAACTTACAAGATCTGAAAAAACAAGGCAATCCTGATGAGTTCTAGCTCTCATAGGTTTCACTACATTCATAATACTTTAATAAGCAAAACATCGATCAAGTTCATATTACTTGTAGACTCTTATCTCCCACCATTTGTTGTTGTTAAGTGTTGTCATGCTATTTCCGACTCATACTGACCCTGTATGGGTTTCCGAGGAGCAGCTGGTGGGTTTGAACTGCCAACCTTGTGGTTTGCAGACTAGTGCTGATCCTAGAGTGCCACACTAGGAGTTCTTCCATTATACTAATACTCAAATTTTTACTGTCAAGGGAATATCCAAGAACACGAACTTCTTGCAACAGCCTGGGGTTTTGAAATCTTTCTTTGATACTTACCATATCCCACTGTATCCGTTTATACATACACTTACCTTCTCCAGATGGTGAACTCCTTGAATAATAATCACTATTATTTGGCTCACTATCAAAACCTCAACTGTGAATTTTAACCTTGGTCCTGAGAATATGTATTTTTAAAATCTGCATCTCAGATGATGTATGCTACAGGTGAACAGAGAAAGTATCAGAGAAGACACTTGAGATACAAAATTGAATAAGACACTTCTTATTCATTTTTATATCTCAAGCATCTAAAATACAAGAGTGCCTGACAAAGAATTAAGCACCCGGTAAATGGTTTCTCCACAGAATAATTTTATGAATGTAAGTGCTATGTGAGGAGGGAAAAAAAGTTAATTATGTTTGAAAATGTGTCTTATTAAGAAACAACAAAGGTTTATCAAATTAAATTGGGAAACCAATTTCCTTATATTTTCTTAAAACAATTAAATACTTAAGCTATGTACAAATGAGTCTTAATTTGCATAAGTAAATCAACCAGAGCAGGGATTCTTACTAGGCTATCTAATGAAGACATGGACTGAGTCTGACCATGCCCCATAGACTCCTGTTGACCTTGAGATGAAAGAGAAGATCAAGGCCTGGTTGGTCTGAAGTTCTGGGAGACTTGGGAACTCCTGAGCCCATGGACACTAACCTAGCCATGGTGGGCTAGAAATGAGAGTGAAGTATCTAGCAGATAGCAAGTGGAGGGAGGTGCGCAAGAATGCCCAAACTTGCAGATAGTACCCGTATGACCTAGCTTGTATGGCTTGATGATCAGAACTCGATTACAGGACGACAAAGAAGTTTGATACAGGAAGCAAGTATAAATTGCTACAATTTGATGAACTTGACCTATACTTACAGATGTTTATTGTTGTTGAGTTGTTTCCAACCCATAGCGACCCTGTATAGGGTTTCCAAGGAGCAACTGGGGAGCCTGAACCACCAACTTTGTGGTTCAAACAGCTCTGTAGTCCAGTGCATTAGCCCATAGCGCAACACCAGGACTCTGAGATGTATTGGCTCAAAATACCAACTGAGAGGTAAGGAGTCTTCTCATCAAGATCAAGTCTGTCCTCCCGGCACACAAGGTTGATAGGGCAACTTAAGACATTGGCTACCTAAAATGGGTGTGTGTGTGTGTCGTTATGTACTGTGGAGTCAGTTCCGACTCACAGCGACCCTATACAGGGTCTCCGAGGCTGTAAATCTTGACAGGAGCAGAACACCTCATCTTTCTTCCGTGGAACAGCTGGTAGTTTTGAACTGCTGACCGTGAGATTAGCAGCCTGATTCATAACTGCTATGTTACCAGAGCTCCTTTAATGGGGGTGGGGGTAGGGGGAACTATAAAGGCACAAAGTGGTTGGCTTACAAGTTTTCAAGTTAGTTTCAGAGCGTGTGGGGTAAGGTAGAATCCTCATTGAATAGTTCTCATCTTGTCTAGATGGGTCTGGTGAAGGAGATAGGGATCGGATTCTTGATTCAGTAGTAATTGTTATCTTGACTATTTGAGGTTAAAAGGTAGAAGTTGTGTAACAAAAAGGAGGGGGTAATTAATCTTACATTCCAGGAACAGAGGGCTCTAGGGCCATCAAGAGAAAAAAGCATGAGCAGAACAAGTGATCCTAACCAGAGAAGCAATGACACCAGAGATGGAGGCAGAGGTGATGGCAGAATCTTTCTCTTTCCAAGAGTCTAAGCTGAGGACTCTAGACTCATGGAAAGAGAAAGGCTGTGTGCTGGTGGGCAGGAGGCTGGCTTGCAAAATGTGCCCTTTAGTTGTTTATAGGATTATATAATCCGGAGTGTACATCAAAGAAAAAAAGAGGGAATAGAGGCTCTGGTAACAACGTAGTGGTTACGAATCGGGCTGCAAACCATAAGGTCAGCAGTTCGAAACTACGGCTGTTCCACAGGAGAAAGATGAGGCGTTATGTTATACAGCCTCGGAAACCCTGTACAGGGTCACTATGAGTCAGAACCGACTCCACAGCACATAACAACTGTTAACTGATGGTGCATGGAAGGAACTGTAATCATTGTAATGAAAACAAAATATGATTGGTTGAGTGCAAAACCAATATTCTCCTATGTTAAACTATCACTCAATTCACAATAAAAGCTTAAATAAATTTTACTGATTTCTGCCTCCAGAGCCCTTTCTTCCTTTAAATGAGTCACGCAATCTAGGCCACATTTAGTTTTAAAAAAAAGAGAGAAAAAGAAAGACATATATATATATATATATATTATGTGCCAGGACTTACTCTCTAGTTTGTTCTCTGTTGCCAGATAATCGCTAATGTCTTTTTCAACTTTGAAAATCCAGTATTCTAATTTCATTAATCTCTACATTTAGTAGCCCTGAATTCTTTTTATAATTATTATAAAATATGCTAACAATCTTGTTGTCCCCATTTCACTTGTACAAGTGAGGAAACTGAAGCCTGGCTAACTAACTCAGGCAATCTGCATACTACACTACACAGTTACTTTCTATAAACAAACTTTATAAATGATTTTCACATCTTTATTAGCATCCAATTCTGAAAGCTATATTACAGTAACTTTCTACTGTATATATTGTTCTGACTACTAAAGACAATACAGTAAAAAATCACATATTGTGTGACAATACCATTTACTGAGCAACTAACTTTACATGTAATCTTCAATCTTATCAAGTAGCTATTATTCTCGTATTACTTGGAATTTAAATCCATATAGCCCTAATTTGGAAGTCTGTATACTTAACATTTTACTGTAATATAGAGCAGTCACTTTATGTATTTAATTTACATTTACTATCACTAACATACTTCTTCTTGGGTGCACTGTGGCTTTGTAGGATAAGCATTGGTCTACTACCCACAAGGTTGGTGGTTGGGTCCCCAGAAGTTACTTGAGAGAAACTTTCTGTTTCTGCAAAGATTTATAGCTTCAGAAACCCTAAAAAAGTTCACTATGAGTCAGAACCAACTCAATGGCATTTAACAACAATAATATACCTATTACAGTTCTGTTCCACATCTTTAAATATTTTGTCAGGCATTCCTAATCCACTAGACCAGATCACTCAAGAATGCTATGCTTCACTGGATCCCAAATAGCTACATCTTCACGCTTTGCACCTTGGAACAAAAAAGCAGATTGCCAACTTTATAAACGTTTATGTATGTACCCACAATCTGCATCACTTCAATACCTAAAACTATTAGTATCATCAAGATAGCAGTTCAACAACAAACAACCGTAGGGATAAGAAAATTAAAAACCAAATTCAAGTTTTGAAAATATTTGTCCTATCACACTAAGTGGACCTAAGAAAGATCATAGAGATTACTGAAATTAAACAATTTTTCCTTCAAGTAAAAAATTCTTCATAAACTCATGATTAAATAGAAAGTTTATGCTATACAAATATTTAATCTTAGATGCATGTAAACATTTTATTAGCTTAAAATCACTCATCACTTTAAAAAATCTATCTTACTCGTATGTAAGTCTGAAGTAAAAGGTTTAAATTTGGTTTTCTCCTTTCAAGAAATTTGATCCTACATTGTTGTAACTATGAATCATGACCAAAATGAAACTATGAATTATAACCCAAACAGTCAGTAAATTAACAAATGGACTCATAAGGATAAAATTAAACAAATGAAGAAATTTAATTTAAAATGCAGAATAGTTTTATGGACCAATTATTATAAATGCTCTAAGGTTCCTTTCTTGTAAATCCAAAGTATTTTTTTCTTTGCCTCTATTAGGCTTTAAAAAACATTCTCTCACTTATACTTAATGTACTTTAAAACAGAAAATGACCAGCACAAGATTGTTGTTAAGTGCCTTCGAGTCAGTTTCCACTCACAGCAACCCTATATAGGGTTTCCAAGGAGCACTGGGTAGATTTGAACCAACAACCTTGTGATATGCAGTAAAGTGCTGATCCTACAGCACCACACAAAAAAAGATTAGCTTTTTCAAATGGTTAGAACAACTGAATCTAGCTAAAGGTACATATTTTTAAATTCAAATACTCAGAGATAACCTAAATGCATTGCTATGAATTAATTTTTTTTCTACATGGAGATAATCAAAACATTCAAAAGATATAGAAGCCTTAGCATAATGTCATAGTTGTTGTTAAGTGCCGTTGAGTAAGTGCTGACCCATAGCGACCCTGTATAGGGTTTCCAAGGAGCGACTGGTGAGCTTGAACCACCGACCTCGTAGTTCAAACAGCTTTGCAGTCTGGCACATTAACACACAGCACCACACCAGGTACTCTTAAATACTCATTCCTTTAGCTAATTTACATAGTGCTCAGCACCTTGTACAACATGGAAAATTTGTTAAAGTAATAAGAATAAATAACATGGTTGATCATTTTTTGAAATACAAGAAATTAAATTCTTATGGGCATGGGTGGAGGTCTACAAAAATTACTCTTCAGTAGCGTAGTGGTTACGAATCGGGCTGTGAACCTTAAGGTCAGCGGTTTGAAACTACCAGCCGCTCCGCGGGAGAAAGATGAGGCTTTCTACTCCCGTAAGGATTTACACCCTCGGAAACCCTGTACAGGGTCGCTATGGGTCGGAACCCACTCGACGGCACTTAACAACAACAATAACAACAACAAGTAGGACCACATGATAAACAAAAAAGATCAAACCCATTGCCATCAATTAGATTCCAACTCATAGCAGCCTTATACAGGCAAAGTTGTTAGTGCCATTGATTCAGAGCAACCTTATGCACAACAGAATGAAACACTGTCCAGTCCTACGTCATTCCCATAACCATTAAGCTTGAGCCCACTGCTGCTGCCACTATGCCAATCCATCTCCTTGGGGATCTCCTTCTTTTTTGCTGACCCTCCACTTACCTAGCACGATGTTCTTCTCCAGGGAAACAAAAAGAAAGGATCAGTAGCTGGAAAATACAGCCATGGTGATAGAAATTATGTTAGAGATAGTATGACTGAATCTTGCAAGACCAAAAACTCGTTCATTGCAAATACCGTCACCAGATGAAATAGTTACATATCATCAGTCAAAAGAAGGCCAGAGGCCAACCATCAATTGCTCAAGTTCACGCTGAAGCTGAAGAAAATTCAAACAAATCCATGAGAGCCAGTTTGACCTTGAACATACCCCCTGAATTTAGAGACCATCTCAAGAACAGATTTGAAACATTAGACATTAGTAACGGAAACCAGAAGCATTGTAAGATGTCATCAAGATCATTAAGAAAGAAGGAAAACACCAAAATGGACATCAGAAGACACTCTGAGACTTGCTCTCCAGCAAAAGGACAGAGAATAGAACAGCACTTACAGGGTTTCCAAGGTTGCAATCTTTACTGAAACAAACTGCCTCATCTTTTCCAGGGAGTGGCAGATTTCCTCAGATCTTTCAGGTTAGATGTAAAACGCTTAACCATTGTGCTACCAGGATTTTCTAGAGCACATATTAAGAATTCATAACTGACATTTAAAATCCTTATATTCAGATCTTCTAACACCTAATGAGATGGATTAGCCAAGTGGCAGCATCAATGGACTCAAGTGTGGCAACAGTATTGAGGTTGGCACATGATCAGGCAGTGTTTCCTTTTGCTGTGCATAAGGTCGCTATGAGTTGGTAACGACTTGATGATACCTAACAACAACCTCCCAAAGAACAAGGTTGTTGCTGTCAAGTGCTATGAGTCAGTTCTGACTCAGTGACCCTGTATAGAGTTTCCAAGGAGCAGCTGATGAGTTTGAACCGCTGCCCTTGTGGTTGGCAGCCCAGTGCTCATCCTACAGCGCTACACCAGAAATTCAAGAACAGGGTTGTTGTTAAGTGCCGTTGAGTCGGTTCCAACCCATGGCGACCCTGTATAAGATTTCCGAGGAGCGGCTGGTAGGTTTGAATCGCCAGCCTTACAGTTCAAGTCAACTTTGCAGTCCAATGTATTAAGCTACAGCGCCATACCAGGACTCCCAAGAACAAAGTTGTTGAAAGAAAAACACCAAAATCAAACAACTGAACATCAGAATAATAGTGAATAATCTTAGTATGTAGACACACACCACAAAACTGCCACGATCCAACATTTACACAGATCAATACAGGGTTCTACAGCGACTTATTTTTTCTAACTGTACAGATTTAAATTACCAAAATAGTTTGAGGGTTATTTTTCCAGAGGGGAAAATGACTAAGATATAGTTTCATCCCCAAAATACATGTGTTTATTATATGTGTGTGTGCAGAGTGGCTTTCTCTAAATACATAAGAGACTAGAAACAATAAAGTAAGGTTGTTCCATTATTTACATAACAATAATTTGGCACTACCATGTGCTAGGTAGGGATTGCTAATCGCAAGGTTGGCGGTTCCAACCCACCAGCCACTCCTCGGTAACCCTATACAAGGGTTGCTATGAGTTGGAACCAACTGATGGCACTAACAAAACAAAAAAACTATGTGCCAGGCACTAACATAAGGTATTGTTTAAGATTTTCAAAGACATTTCCATGTGTCTATTACAGCTTTCATTTCCTGGTGGTTCATTTAGGAAAACACATCAGATGGATTTTTTTTTTTGAAGACGGTAAAAGTTTAAAGGAAAAAATTAAAAAAAAGGAACACAGGGAGAAAGTGGAATAAACGATATTACATTAACAGGATTGCAATCATTGAGATGAAACGAAATGTACGATTTGTTAAATGTGAAACTGATGATCTGCTCTGTAAACCTTCACTTAATTCACACACAAAAAGCTTACAAGTTAAAAATAAAAAAAAAAGAAAGAAAACTGAAAAGAATGTTATAACTTTGAAAGCAATCTTGACAGACTGTACTAGAAACCACTCAACATCTGACAAAGCATTGGACATCTGAACTACTACATTCTTTTATGATGGGAATCCTGGGAATTTAGCAGTCAAACCAACGAAATACTTCAGAACACAACACGCAGTTCCTGGAGCTAGTCTTGAGATTTATGTAGGATCTGACATTCCAAATTTGCAATACAAGAAATGTCTTGAAATTAGCACTTTTCTGGTTCCGAAAAAGTATTTTCTTTCTGCATGCGAAATTTACAAAAAAAGAAATAAAAATCTTTCAGTAACTAGAATTTTCCAATACTTGAACGTTTATGATTAAGTGTTTAAAAATAAAAGCGCTCCCTTTTAAATACTCTTATAATTTAAAGTCCCTCCGCGCCAAAAGATGACCTGTTGCTGAAAGCGAGAAAGACAATCAAGAAAACAAACGGTTCAGAAAGAGCTCTAGTTTTGAAACAAAACAAACAACGATAAAAAGGCGGGAATTTCCTGATTTCAAATTTGGGTTATAAATTCTTAAGTCACAAAGTGTCCTCCAGAGAGCGCTGTGCGACTGTGACGAGTCATTTCAGTTAAGAAAGCGGGAAAATGCTCGAACCCAGCCTCCGGCACTGCAGGGCTGGCCCTCCGGAGCCTACGGAGAGCGCACCGCAGGGTAGGGGGTCTAAATACACGCGCGGGCCAGTTTTTCCCACGTGCCAAGGAATGCCAGCAATCACCGGACTTCCCACTCCGAGTCACACAACGCCAAAACACGGCCGCCCGGCCGCTCCAACTTCTCAGGACTCCGCTCTCCCGCCGCCCAGGAGGCCCGCGGGGGAGCCGCGGAGGGAGAGGCCGCGGCGGGGCCGAGTGCGCGGCGCGCTCCGCCAAACGCCTGCCCGCCCTCCCGCCCGCCTTTGTGGACCGGCCGTCCTTACCCGGCCGACGGAAACGCGGCTCCGGCCTGCGGCGACAACTCCGGAACCGAAAACCGGGGTGGGCTCGCGCTCCTCGTCGCTGGAGAAGTCAGGGGGCCCCTTGCTGTTGGCGCTGGCGGCGAGTGGCGGCCGGTTACGCGCCGTGAGGTGCTGCAGATAGAGCTGCACGTACACGTCTTTGCGCTGCTCGCCGGGCGGGAGCGTCACATTGTTGGCGATCAACTCACTCTTCAACTTCTCTTTCGTCAGCACCGAGGGGTCTTCTAGGAACTCTGGCATCTCCGCGGCGAAGCCCCTTCCCTGCAGCCTTCACACCCGCCGCTCACGCCGGCGCGCTCTCCTCCCCCGGGGCCGCGATGCCGTCTCCAAGCCTCCCGGCTCCCGCCCGATAGGAGCACCACGGAACAAAGCAACGGACACAAAGCAAAGCGCAAACGGACACAAAGCCCCCCGAGCAGTATACGTCCCAAGTGCGGCCCAAATAGAACCCTACACCAACCTCAGCCCACACACTACAAGCGAAAGGAGAGCGCCCAGCTTCGCCCACGCCCCAAGAACACGCGCCGCCATTGGCCAACGGCGGGAGGAAAAGCGGCGGTGATTGGCGGGACGGCTCGCGCGGGTTCCATTAGCCGCGACGCGGTGCGAAAGGTTGTGGAAACGCAGTTTAAAAGCCGCTCGGGCGGGAGCCGAGTCTTGGGCAAAAGCGTCCGGCCCTTTTCTGTTTCCCTTTTCTCCACCCTTCCCTGTAGATTCTGATAAGAGGCTAATCGTCGTGCTTTTGTGCGCGGCTTCCTCTCCCACCCCTTACTTGGGAAGAAGGGTTCCTCTTTTGAGGTCCATCACTTACGAACGGGCTGAATTTCATGCCAAGGAGTGAGGACCCTTGGCTGGGCCTTCCTCCACCACAGGACGCTATTCTACCAAAGAGTAACCCCAGACTTTCCTTCCTCAAACACTAGCCCAGAGGAAAAGAAAAGAAACGTAGATTGTTTGTAGGTGTTCCGTAGGGTTTAATTACCTGGGGGGAATGGACGGAAACCCTTCTTCATACTTGCAAACGTTCCTTTTGTTTATGAAATTCAGGAGTCCCAACCCCTACCACTGCTCTTTCCAATGCCCTTGAATTTGTGACGATTTTACCGTTAAAATTTCTATCCTTAGCCCGAAGTTCGAGGCATTTCTAAATTAGTTTCATTTGTACAGTGAACTAGGTTAAGGCAAATCCATGCAAGCATTTTTGTGAAAAGCGGTTTAGATTCCTTTCCTCTTAAGTATTTTACCACGATAAGCCTAGTATTCAATAATTGAAGGAAGTGAAATACCTAGGAACACCTAAATGGGCAATTTAAGACAACTGACTAAACTTTAATCTCAGAGGATCTCTAATCAGACACATATTACTGATCCAAATGAAACCTGGGAGAATCTCAGAAATTTGCTAGATTTAAAGTATCTTCCCCAAATCAAATACCACCAATAAAACAGTAGTTTGTGTGAATACGTACGTGTATGTGCCAAATGCTTTCTTCCAAGAAAAGAAAGAAGAGCTGACCTCAGTGTTAGGATGTCTTCATCATTTCCCCAGGTTCTGACCTGCAAACTATGCTTTTTAAGCTGCTTCGAAGAAAAAGAAAAGTTTACGTGTTTAAAATTATTATTACACATTTCTTTAAGTCGGAATAAAAATTTGTGTGAACTACGTCACATTTTTTGTCTGCAGGTTAATTGCTGCAAGTCGGATTATTTTCCTACAAGTAGCTTTGTTTTCGAAAAATTTAAATCTTCACATACATCTATTAAGTATTCATATTAAGTTCAACAAAGCAAATTAAAAATGACATTTCCATTAGGAAGTCATGTACGTTTTTTAGGTTACTTTGAAAAAGTACTCTTCATTTTCACAGCTTCCTTGGACAAATAGACAAGTATTTTTCTTCAGAGGAGGAAGTGAGGTGAGAAGCAGAGGGCCATGATTTTGCAGCAACTGGCAACCCTAGCAAATGTAGTATAGGAAGAATAGTCCCCGTTTCCAGTGGCCTTATTCTGCCACAGTGCAGTTATTCCAGCAAAGTCTGCAAATATGGTGTATAGAGCAATGAAGGCCTGAATCTGGTCTCTGCAAGGCCAAAAAAGGTCATAGCTCTATTCTGGCTTATTTAAATGAGCAAACCACCCTGTTAAATTCTTCTCTTATTAGTTAAGGAGAGGTTGGCTCTGGCCTGACTATGAGGTTTCTAAGAGATCGTTTTGCTATTGTCACTGAAAAGGGTCAGAGTTATCAGGGTAGATTTGACCTGATGTACATAAAAAGGGCTCCACATTCTGACAGCTGTCAGATATCTGGTAGTGTGGTTCTGACAGGGTCCTTAAAGGACAAGTCTTCATGGACATTGGAAGATTAATCTCCTACCTAAAAAAATGTTTGATTTAAGGAGCTCTGGTAGTGTAGTAGTTACGTGTTGGGCTGTTAACGTCAAGGTCAGCAGTTCGAAATTATCAGCCATTCTGCAGGAGAAAGATGAGGTGTTCTGCTCCTGTAAAGATTTACACCCTCAAACCTTATACAGGGTCACTATGAGTTGGAATCGACTCCAAGTCAAACAACCAACTACCAACACTTTTGATGTGAGTAGATACAGTCACAGAGTGAGTTGCCTGGGGGAGCCACCTAAAGAGAGGGTACCTTAGTGGAACTTTGTTTTTTTCATAGGGCCTTTACACCAGAATATTTCCAGGCAGTTAGTCCTTAGAGACAATAACTTAACCTATGATTCCCCTGAGCTAAAAAAAAATTTTAAAAAAATCACCTGTTGAGTATGAAAGTTGTTTTAAATAGATACAATACTATATCCTAGGGGGTCAACAGTCATGTGATTCACAAAGACCTGAACTCTTGATGTCAGAATGAGCAAATACTCATTTCCATTAATTATCTCTCTCCTCTGTGGATACTATCAACAGGAGGTCACTCAAAAGATTTCACTTTTCACAGGAGACATGGTTAATGTCATGTTTTCAGACAGTGAGGTTGCTTTTCTAGAGTTTACACAAGATGAAGGCATAAATTTTACTTTTAACTCCACTGTAGTAAGGCCAAGAGGTTGAGTTAGAGTGTGGGTGGTCTCTTTGTTCCTGATTGCTTCTTTGAAATGGTTTCTTTTATTTTCCTCCTTTAGGGATTGGCTTCATCATTCTACCTGTTATGTCTGTTATTTACCAATCTCCTGACCACTCTGCAACTTTCATCTTCTCATCTGCAAGGTCTTGTTCTTCTATTTCATCTCATCCATTCCAGTAGTAAACCTTATCATCTTTAACTCCTGTACCTCCTAAGTCTCAGTTTCAAGCATTCTACTTGCTAACCACTTACTACCGCTCCTCCACCCTAGGTCATTTATTGTATGCTTACTGGACTAATTGACACTCTCAACCTATTAGCCCCAAATACTTTTCCAGAATTTATTGTCTCATGCCTTCTTACCATCTTCCATCAAATCCAATTTAGATTCCCTGGTCTATCATTGCAAGCATGCTTTTGTAAACATCTTGAGTTCTGTTGCCTCAGTATCTCCATCTTTCTCAGGTTGGAAGTCACTCAAAATACAACTGAGAAAGAGCTGCCTCCTCAAAGTAGAGTTGACTGTGATGACACGAATGGAGTAAATCATTCTCCACAATGTTGTCTATACCTTGTCATCATGCACACAGTTGAAAGCTTTTGCATACTCAATAAAGCACAGATAAACATCTTTCTGATAATCTCTGCTTTCAACTAAGATCCAACTGATGCAGTAGTGATATCCCTCATTCCATGCCCATGTCTGTATCTGGCTTGAACCTCTGGCATTTCCTGTCAATGCACTGTTGAACTGTTTGTTTTTTGTTTTTTTTTTAATTATTGCAGAGAATGAGTATTCCTGAACACTTAACGGTACTCATGACCAAGATGCAGTCATTCAAACAGAACAAGGGGACACTGAATGGTTTAAAATCAGGAAAGGTGTGTGCCAGAGTTGCATTCTTTCACCATACTTATTCAATCTGTATGCTGAGCAAATCATTTGAGAAACTAGATTATATGAAGTAAAATGTGGCATCAGGATTGGAGGAAGACTCATTAAGAACCTACAATGTGCAGATGATACAACCTTGCTTGCTGAAAACAAAGAGGACTTACAATATCGATGAAGATCAAAGACCACAATCTTCAGTATTGGTTGCACCTCAGTGTACAGAAAACAAAAATCCCCACCACTGGACCAATAAATAACATAATAATAAATGGAGAAAAGATTGAAGTTGTCAAAGATTTCATTTTGCTTGCATCCATAATGAACACTCATCAGAGTAGCAGTCAAGAAATCAAATAATGTATTTCATTAGACAAATCAACTCTACAAGACCTCTTTAAAATGTTCAAGGACAAAAATAATCAGTTTGAGGAATAAAGTATGCCTGACCCAAGCTATGGTATTTTCCATACCATTTTCAATATGCATGTGAAATTTGGACAATGAATAAGGAAGACCATAGAAGAATTCAGACATTTGGGTTATGGTGTTGGAGGAGAATATTGAACGTTCCATGCAGTGCCAGAAGAACAAACAAATCTGGGTTGGAAGAAGTACAACCAGAATACTCCTTAGAAGCCATGATGACAAGACTTTATTTCTCACACTTCATATTTATCAGGAGGGACCAGTCCCTGGACAAGGGCATCATGCTTGGTGAAACGGAAGGTTAGCAAAAAAGAGTGAGCCCCCCAACCAGATGGATTGGTAGTTGTAGCAGTGATTGTGAGGCTGACGCAGGACCAGGCAGTGTTTCATTGTGTTGTACACAGGGTCGCTATGGGTCAGAATTGACTCAGTGACACATAACAACAACATTAACGGTGTCCAAATAATTTACAGCCTTCTGGTTAATTATAGAGGATAGGAAAAAAAGAAAATCGTCATAAAATCGTGGTTGGTAACAGGTGAATTCATCACTGTTGCAGGCAGGAAAGGAACCCTGGTGGCACTGTAGGCTAAGCACTGGGGCGCTGAGCAAAAATTGGTGGTTCAAATCTGCTGGCTACTGCTGTTCTGTGGGAGAAAGCTGAGGTTATCTGTTTCTATAAAGACTGACAATCTTGGAAGCCCTACTGAGGGTTACTATGAGTTGAAATTGACTGAATGGCAGTGGGGGTTGGTTTGGTTGTAGGCAGGACTACAGACATAGGGAAACATGATTGCAGATGTGGGAAGTTTCCAGGATTGGTACTGGGATCCTTGACCACCTGACTGCTGATGGTTGGGATATGACTCATGGCCATGTGATACCTCAACTTCCAGGTGACTTTCATCTGTAATCATTAAAGGCAAGACTGCCCTTCCCTAGGCTGGCCAAGAGAGTTGGCATCTACTTTTTAAAATAATCTGACAAGGGGCAGAAAGAACTCAAGTGGAGGCTGAACTTACGTCAACACCCCTAATGGAGTTAGGACTCCCACTGCAAGC